CCCCTAAACCCCTAGACCCCAAAACCATAAAACCCCTAGGTTCTCATGTCCTTCGTTGATGTCTCTCAACAGCAAGTCGACGACCTGGGAGCCGCTGCTAGCCAGGGCAGAACGGCTGAGGTGGGAAGTTGAGATGCTTTGAGGGTGCCATTTTAGGGTTTAGGGTTTAGGNNGTTGTAAGCTGGAGGGTTTAGGGTGTGTTTAGGGTGTTGTAAGCTGTAAGTTTTAATTAGGGTGTGTTTAGGGTGTTGTAAGCTGTAAGTTTTAATTAGGATGTGTTTGGGGTGTTGTAAGCTGGAGGGTTTAGGGTGTCTTTAGGGTGTTGTAAGCTGTAAGTTTTAGGGTGTGTTCAGGGTGTTGTAAGCTGTAAGTTTTAGGGTGTTTTTAGGGTGTTGTAAGCTGTAAGTTTTAGGGTGTGGTTAGGTTGTTGTAAGCTGTAAGTGGTTTAATCACAGGGATTCGTTTAGAGTCTTAGAGGTTTTCTATTGCTTTACCAGGGGCTTCCTCCAGGTCCTAGTACTTTGATTGTTTTCAGGGATCGAGTAGCCCCCCAGGCGAGTCAGAGAGACGCGTGTAGACGCCAGCCCAGCAGATAGCAGACACCGGATTTCTATGCCAGTGTGTCCATCGTACCACTCGTACCCTGGTCAATTGTCAATAACCACTACACAAACTGGGCGTTTCAGATCAAATGAACTCCTACACAAAAGGCCCTCAAATGCTGCTGTAGGAGCCTTATGGTAAGCACCCCTTTTTCCAACCTGTTTTCCTAGAAGCCCTGAAAGTCGGCGCTAATAGGGGTTCCTTGTTCTAGGTATAGTATCATATACCCCCAAAACCCTATTGACAACAACAAAAGCCCCGAAACAACCCCCAAACCCTCATAAATCCTAAACCCTAAACTCGAAACCCTACCCTTTGAGGTCGAATCAATGCTGCAGCTGCCTCAAGATCCAGATTTGCTTGACTCAGGCGGGCGCACAGCCTTCATGAAGGCAGCTGTGAAAGGGCATGTGGATGTCCTCCGCTTGTTGATGGAGGCCGGTGGTGATCCCACTCAATAACAGTTGAATAATATTGATAAGATGGGTATATTGGTATATAAGGCCCATAGTAGCCTCGCTCTTTTGATGGAGGCCGGTGCCAAGATTGATGTGGCAGACAACAGCGACTGCGCAGCCTTGATGGGGGCATCTTTCCAAGGCTACGTCGAAGTTGTGAACTTGCTGCTTGAGGCCGGAGCCAGGGACGTCCCAAACAACGGTGGCCACACGGCTTTGATGGCGGCATCTTACCAAGGTCATCTGGAAATCGCAAGCCTGTTGGTGGAGTCTGGCGCCGACAAAGATGCCACAAACGACAGGGGCAAGACAGCGTTGATGATTGCATCAGAGACTGGCCACGTCGAGATCGTCCTCTTGCTGCTGGAGGCTGGCGCCAACAAAGATCTTCCGGACAACAGCGGTCGCACAGCTTTGGTCAAGGCATGTTGCCTAAATTATGTCGAAGTGGTGCGGTTGCTGCTGAAGGCAGGCGCCAACAAGGATTATGCAGACAGCAAGAATGGATACACAGCTTTGATAGCGTCATCGCACGCCGGTCATGCCGAAATTGTTCGTTTGCTACTGGATGCCGGTGCCGACAAGGATCATGCTGCGAGGTTCCCATCAGTAGTACCCTTTTGGCCGTTTTCTATTTTTATAAGGTATCACTATTATTGACGGCACACTGGGACCCCTAAACCCTAAACCCTAAACCCTATAAACCCTGGACACTTAGGCTGACAAGAAAGCAGATACTGCCTTGATGGTGGCATCTGTGGCAGGTCATGTCGAAGTCGTCCGCTTGCTCCTGGAGGCCGGCACCAAGAAAGATGTAGCAGAGAACGACGGATACACAGCTTCTTAGGAGCCCAATAGGTAAACTTTAAACTTTTTGGGTATATTAAACCCTTACTAAAAAAAAGTTTAAACTTTTTTGGGCCAGGGTACTGGGCAGCTGAGGCTTTGATGATGGCATCTACCAGAGGTCACGTGGACGTCGTCCACTTGCTGCTGGAGGCCAGTGCCATCAAAGACTTGTCTGACAACAGCGGCTACACAGCGTTGATGATGGCATCCTACAGAAATCGCGTCGAAGTGGTACGTTCGCTCTTGGAAGCTGGCGTCGAAAAGGACCTAGCAGAGAAGGACGGGTACACAGCTCTAATGATGGCAGCTGATCTAGGCCATGCGGATGTGGTGCGTTTGCTGTTGGAGGCCGGTGCCAACAAAGACTTGGCAGACCACAGAGGCCACACAGCCTTGATGATGGCATCTGCAAGGCAGGAACAGAATCCTACGATCGTCGCTTTGCTGTCATAGGCACTGTGTCAGCTTTGTCCAGGCTTGCATAGATGCGCTCCGACATTGAAAAAGAATCCGGAGTCCGACGCTATGGCCGACAAGTGCAACCTCAAAGCCGCCTCTCGAAGCCTTGTAAGCTTGCAAGCTACTTGGAGGTTCATGGGTAGTTACACGTGTGGTTATCAGTAGGGTAACTATACTTATAGCCCATATTAGGGGATTTATAACCCTACTTATAAACTACCCATGAACCTCCAAGTAGAGCCCTTAAGGTTTAGGGATTGATGGTTTGGGGTTTCGGATTTGGGGTTAAACATACACCCAAAGCCGTCTAGTCGCTTGCTTCAAAACCCCAGGACCCCAAGCCATGTACCCGACGCGTACAGAAGTTTTATGAACGAGTTTTTGGGGTTTAGGGCTCTACAGACAGGATCTCGTGTTCAATAGAGCCCGGGGCGTTTAGGTTTCGGGGGGTTAGGGTTTACAGTTTAGGGTTTAGGGGCTTTAGAACCACCAGAAAAATGATCCCAGAGAGTCGCCCTAGGTTTTATGAGGAGAAGGCGAAGGAGCTCCGGCAGATCGCGATCATCCTCGAGGCTTTCAAACAAAGCATACTTGGAGGATCATGGGACTTAGTAAGTGAGGTTATAAATCCCTTATTTGGGGTTATAAGTAAATTTAAGTACAGGTACCTTAATTATGACCCTACTTGCTAAGTCCCATGATCCTTTAAGTAAGACAATTGTCTGAATACACACGGGATGTAGAAGGGTTCCCTAAGGGATCTAGAAGGGTTCAGGGTTTAACATGGTTTAATCCAGGGGTGTGAATAATCAACAGTATAGACTCCATAGGCTTCCCTATTAGCGCTATATCATCATGATTCAAATAGTGATGTATAACCCGAAGGCTCTAAAGGACTCAAAACATAAGGCCTTTGGGCCCAAAGACCATACCATACAAGGCGTTTGGGCGAGTTGGAGCCTTATGGCAACATACCCCGAAGCCTATTCAAATCAATAAGGCCCCTGTACTGGATCCGGTCTAGGGTTTTGCTGTTGGGTTTTAGGATACATGTCTTCGTGACATAAACTTAACTAAATTTCTCAAATTTGTTGTTTGATACTAGAGCGGTGCACCTGCTTAGGCCCCCCCAGCCTTCCCCTCATACCCTGCCCGTCCCCTCAAAGCCTTCTCCTCGACATTGCAATAAGCTCAATTTGCAGGGTCAAGCCTGTCCCCGCAACGCTTTCTCCTCCAATTATGGGCCTGCTCCTTCAACGCGTAAATTTTGGCCTAAGCTCGCTGCGCACGAAACCCCAAACCCTCAAACTTCTCAAGCCTATAAATGCCATCCCTATACCCCAAAACCCTGCAATCCTCAACCTTCGATAGGTGTTCACTCGTGATGCCAACTGGCGCCGGACGGAGGAGACTTCTCGTGAGAAAGAGCTTCCCACCGAGTAGTCCCGATGGCCCTATTGACCCTACTGAATACACTTACAATGGTCGTGAAGTGAGGAATATACCTGCCATCAAAATATTGAGCCCCCATATAAACTCATCTACGCTCCTTCGCCGTAAACACTAGACCCTAAACCCTAGACGTTGATCAGGGTCAAGGATTACTGAGGGGCATGACTAGCTTGCCTTCCGCCCAGCGGATTCCAACTGAAGGATGCTCCAACAGGTGCAAAAAGGCGTTCAAACAAAAAACAAAAACCTAAACTTGGCCTCTGGGAACTCCATCAGCATGTAAGGCTGTGTTGGACGTTTGGGTTTTGCCAGAAGGGCCACAGGCATCCATTGTTTGCTCATTGTTTTACTCGCAGCTTGGGTTTTTTTTCGTAAGTTTCGGCGTATTGCAGAGGTTGCCAAATCCACTGTACTTGCACCTGAGCCCACACTTCACGATTCTTGGTTGCGACAACACGTCTCCATTGTACTTAGCTGCGTTACTCGGAAGCCTACTTTCGAATCTATTTAAGGGAGAAAATCGAGCCCGGCTCCCCATGATGAAGGGTTTAGGGTTTAGGGTTTAGGGTTTAGGGTTTAGGGTTTTGATGAAGACGTGACATGGTCCAATAGTTTCGTGCCTGCAGAGCTTTTTGGGCTCCCTTAGACTCAACTTGAGGGATTGGTTCACGCTTAGTTGCCGAGGGTTCTCGGCGAATTTATTGGTCTTTCTGGCAATTCGCCCCCAAAGTCGAATAAATGATTGAGACTTGCGCTCCTTATCTAAGCGCTAAACTTTCCCCTAAAGCCCAAAACCCCTACACACCCCAAACCCGTGAACCCCCATACACCCCGAACCCCGAAACCCTAAACCCCAAAACCCTATAGAACCCTATAATTCAACCAAAAGCGCCTGTAACCGTAAACTTTAAACCCTAAGCCCTAAGCCCTAAACCCTAAACCCAAAGCCCTAAACCCGGAACCCTAAACCCTAAACGCTAAACCCTAAACCCTAAACCAAGGAAAGGACTGTGTCTGTTGACTTCCATCAGCCCTCGCAGCGCTCCGGGGAAGAAATCGAGCTGCAGCCGGGCATCGATCGCCTAAGGCTTCTGGGGTTTAGGGTGTAGGGGTTTAGGGCTTTAGGGCTTTAGGGCTTTAGGGGTTTAGGGTTTGGGGTTTTATTGCTTTAGGGGTTTAGGGGTTTAGGGTTTGGGACTTAAGGGTTTAGGGGTTTAGGGGTTTAGGGTTTAGGGTTTAGGGGTTTAGGGTTTAGGCCCAAGGATTTGGGGGTTTAGGGTTTAGAAGGGTTTAGGGTTTAGGCCAAAGGCTTTTTGGGGGATGTAGGGTTTTTAAGGGTCTCTGCGCATGCAGGTTTTCAGGCCATCCCTTGTAGAACCATCCCGACTGTAGCGCTCCTTGTCCCACCCTTCCTTCTAGCACAGATCATCTTTCTAGGGTTTAGGGTTTAGGTTTTTTCAATGTCTTTGAACTCTCATTCCTGCCTGGTTTACTAGTTTGCCATAAAAGCCCAGCCATTCACGGAGTGACCGCTTCTGAAACATTAAACAAACCTTCTAATACCCATAGCCCAGTATAGCTGGACATCTTGGTTTGGAGGGTTTGGAGTGATCACTGGGAGGCCCTACTACATTACATGGATCGACAGGATTGAGCAAGGGGTTTTGCACCATGCCGAACGCACAGAGCCATATGAACAGAGACGCATGACGAAGCGTACTGCAAAGACTTACATGCCCTTTTTTGGCAAAAATGTGATCGCATCTGCGTGCCGAGCAAGTGCATGGCATTCGAGCTTTTGCCCCCTGACCCTAGCCCCCCAAGTACCTACTGCAGGGGCTCTAGTACCCTAAAAAGTAGGTACCTGGGGAGTTAGGGTGAGCTTGTGATACGAACACTGGCATCGTCTGTCTGACATTGTGGCCTTCCCCACGCAGTCACACTCTAAGAGCGCTTCAAGAGCACCTATAGCGCAAAAAGATCCAAGCGCTGCTTGTCAACACCTTAGCTCTAGAACCCGACACTCTACATGACCCCCCCAACTACCCTCTCTCACACCCTAAAGACCCACTATGAAAGACCGTAGGGGCTCTCTTCGAGGGCGCTTGGGGGGGTGTCCTGACAAAGCCCCTCAGCCCCATAGCAAGCTTGAACCAACCCTCGAAGTCGGACGACCAGCCGTGTTGCTTGAGGCAAACTTCTGCAACGCCTTCTTGGAAATCCGCGCAGGAGCCTAAACTCTAAACCCGAAACCCTACAGACCCTAAACCCTAAACCCTGAGGGGCGGGGTGCTTGGAGGCTTTTGGATGTCCGGATGTTGAGGCTTTTGGAGTTTATCACGGGCCCATGGCGAGGATCATTGCACAGTTTGGGTTTTTCGGGATATGCTTTTAGGGCTCCGGCTTGAGGCATTATTTGGGTTTAGGGTTTTTTTAATGTTTATATAAGTCACGACAGGGTTCCACCTCTAAAGTCAGCGCTTACATCGCATGTAGGGCTTGAAATATAGGCATAGGGTCTAGGGCAACGGCTTGCCTAGAGTTTACCCAAACCCTACAATGCACTCCCAAACCCCTTTTGGGGTTGAGGCTGATTCCGGAGGAACCTCAGCGCCTGCCAAGCAGGCGAAGAAAGGCAAAGCTCTTAAGGGTCTAGGGTTTAGGGTTTAGGGGTTTAAGGTTTAAGGTTTAGGGTTTGGGGTCAAGTCAAGTCTATGCCAAAGCATACTTCCCACAAGCCTACTTCACGGTTTGTGAACCGCGCAACATAGTACCCCCGGAGTGCTGCCCCAACCGAACTGCAGTTCTCATGGGCATCATGTGCTCTCGGCGTTGTTGCGTGGGGTTTGAATAGGTTTCTTTTCGCTCCCAACCCCTCATGTTAGAAACACCTTCCAAACGCGAGGACTCTGTCCCGGATCCGAAACCTACACCCTCACCCCAAACCCTGGCCCGAAGTCCTTAACCTCTGTAAACCCTGACCCGGGTCCTAAAATTTAGGGTTTAGGGTTTAGGGTTTAGGGTTTAGGGTTTAGGGTCCTAAAATCTCAGTACGCAGCTCCAAGCCCTAAACCCTAACCATCGAATGTCAACCACACGAAGATTAAATCCGGCCGTCGGAGCTTTGCGGCCCTTTACCATGACCAAACCTACCAGGGAGATGGCCTGCAAACGTTCATCGAGTTTTGTTTGTTGCCGCAAGAGGCTGTAAGTTGCAAGCCTTCAACTCCCAAAGGTTAGGGATCACAGCATCTTCGGGGTTGAGGGCTGAGAAGCATAGGACTCGAGACGTTTTAGAGCCCGGGCTCAATGCTAGAATTGCTAGAATCTGGTTTGATATTTATGTTGCATATTTTTGATTTGCTAGAGGTCTTGCGGGTTAGCTTCAGTGCGAAGCCTACAGCCACCCGGAAGCTCAAATACCTAATACTGCAACCCTACAAGCCCCCGAGGCCTTGCAACCCTCTAAAACCACAGCCACTACTGCACTCTTGATGCTGATTTTATTGTCGGAGATGTTCAACTACATGTTGTTTATCAAGTTCCTAGCTACACTAGTTGCACAGACACCCCATAAGCCGCATAAACCCTACAAGCCCCCCTGGACGCCTATAAACCTTTGAAGCCCTGCATGCAAAAAGACCTGCACCCAAAACCCGAAGCCCAAAACCCTGGAGCCTGCACCCAAAAAGTCTGAACCCCAAACCTTAAATTGAAAGCCCTACAAATGCTTCACCCTCAGCCGAAACCCAGAGCCCTACACCCTAAAGGCCTGAGCCCTAAACCCTAAGCCCCTAAAACCTAAACCCGTAAACCCCTAAAGCCCTAAACCCCAAAACTCCAAACCCTAAACCCTTAAACCCTAAAACCCTAAACCCTAAACCCCTAAACCCTAAAACTCTAAACCCGAACTGCCCCTCAGTCCAATCCGGCACCGGTGGCAGAGACCGAAGATCCCGAGGAGGCAATCCGATGGGACTCCCGGCTTTTACGTGGGAAGCTGACCAACATCCAAGGTTGAACCCATGGTCCCCTAGTATGGGCCCTTAACCCTGAGATCCTTATATACTTACCATATACCCTCTATATGTACCCTTAAGAGTCCCTAGAAAGGCCTAAGGGTCCATATCAGGGGCCCGTACTTCTAATCTTAAACAACAGGGCCCATAGGGTTTAGGGTTTAGAGTTTAGGATTTAGGGTTTAGGATTTGCGGGTTTAGGGTTTAGGATTTAGGATTTAGGGTTTAGTGTCTAGGGGTTTGGGTTTAGGGTTTAGGGTTTAGTGTTTAGGGTTCAGGATTTCGGGTTTACAGTTTAGGGTTCAGGATTTAGGGTTTAGGGTTCAGGATTTAGGGTTTACAGTTTAGGCTTCAGGATTTAGGGTTTAGGGTTCAGGATTCATGGTTTACAGTTTAGGGTTTGGGGTTTAGAATGTACGGCTAAAGGCTCATATGCTGCCGCCCCCACAAACAGTTAACACAAAGGCTCTTTATATATCCAACCGCGGAAATGAGCACCAGCCCAGTGCATTAAATCAAACCCGAAACCCTAAACCCTAAACCCTAAACCCTAAACCCTAAACCTACATCAACCTTTAGCACCAGAAAAAGCGCAACCATGAGCACAAAATTTAGCACCCCAAAAGCACAATCATGAGCGCATGATTAAAAGGCACAATCATGAACACAATATTTCGCACCAGAAAAAGCACAATCATCAACACAGACTTTGCCGAACATCAAGACTGCGAGTATGAGTTCATGAGGCAAATCATATTAGGCTTTAATTGTTTTGGAAAAACACAATCACAAGCACCGAATGTAGCACCAGAAACAGAACAGTCATGAGCACAATATTTAGCACCAGAAAAAGCACAACCATTAGCACGAAATGTAGAACCAGAAAATTTCTGTTTTGCTGGTGTTTTTGTTGTGCTTGTGTTTGTGGCCTGTCGTGACTGCTACAAGGGCCGGCGACAGTTTGGGGTTTAGGGTTTAGGGTTTAAGGTTTAGGGTTTAGGGAGTTTAGGGCTTTTGGGTTTACGGTTGCCCCCAGGGCCCATGAAATCCTAAAGCACATGGGTTGTTCTCCAAATTGGCTCTGTAAACAGGGGTGCCGTATCATTTTGGAGGACCTAAAGAAACCCTGATCAATTTAGAGAACTACCCATATATTTTGACTTTGACCTTGAAGTAGGCCGTGCATAGGTACTTTAGGGCCCAAGTAGATAAATGTATCTACTATTTGTGTGTATGGAGCCTGAGGTGAGTTACGTACCCAGAAGGCACAATTCCCTTCAACTAAGGAATAGACCATCAGTTACGGTGGGCGGTGGGCTTTTTGTTATATGACTTAAGGATATTTTCCTCAACTCAGGGGTGAACCCTCAAGCCAGTTCAGGGTTTGGTGCTTGGTGGGTAAGTTTGAGAGTCAGAGGTCAAGCTTTATGGAGTTCTAGGTTTTAGGGTTTAGGGGTTTCGGGTTGGTGCTTAAACCAGGATCCTGGGCAGTGGCACATGCGAGCAGTTGTCACTTGCCGGCGATCTACCTCGATCTACTTCATCTATTTCTGAGTAGAAGACTTCCAGCAGAGGTGTTTGTAACCTTATCGTGCTAACCTTATCGTGCCTATTGAACACATGCTTGCAACATGAGTTTAATAGGACATCGGCAAGCCCACTTGTAGCAGCTGCGAACCCCAAGAAGAATGCCTCCCGTGAACTTCCAAGTCTACATGGCACATGGCAGTACTCGAACCGTACGCCTTACCTAGCGAGTCACAAGGGCCCTAAACCCTAAACGCCAAAACTTAACCCCAAACCCGTAATTCGAGTAAGGATGGCACTGGCCATCGCAAGATCGGGGTCTCCGTCGCTGTCAAAAAGATGTTCGCCATTGGAGGGCCCACATCTCTCACAATGCGCCATGGCTAGTTGAGGGTTTTAGGGTTCATTGCTTAGGGTTTCGGGTAATCCGTAGACCCGTGAAGCAGATGCAATACTTGATTCGTTTCACGGGTGCTTTGTCGACCCTAAACCCTAAACCCTAAACAGCGCCTTGGGGCAACCCTAAGAGAGGTTCAGCCCTTGGCATGTCGGACACAGCAGATCACACGAGAGAAGTTTAAGATGTCTTTCCTATGCATTTCTGCTGCTACAGCAAAACTTTGAATCTCGTTTTCGTGTTTGTTCTTATATGGTGGCCTGAATCATTAGCAGTTAGTATTCCCTTTTTGGTATCTTGCTCTCTCTCCGTCTCAGTGGCTGTCTCCTTCTCTCTCTCTCTCGCCGTAGTTATGTGTATTACATGTATATATATATATATACATATGTATGTATGTATGTATGTATGTATGTATGTATGTATGCATGTATGTATGTATGTGTCTATATGTATATATATATATATATATGGATGGCCAAGTATATGAATCTACATAATATGTCTGTGTGTGTATATATATACATATGGGCTGCGTAGTATCCCCCTGTCTGCGTTTCTGCACTGCTGTATTATTGTGGAACAAGCAACTGGCTTTGAAATCCACCGAAAGTTTCTAAACCCAGGCATAGCTTATAAACCCTTCTTATCCTTGAATCTGGACCAAAGCATATAGACAGCCGTGAATTCATATGATTCGTGTCCAAGTCGGAACCAACATAAACGCAGTACAGTATCTAAGTCTCCATGTATGATTATGGATGGTTCTTACAATGCTCGTTCCAGCGCAGATCACCCCCCTACCGAAGCCGCGATTTCGTTGCGTTCTTGCCCAACTCTGCACTTGGACACAAGCCCAAGAAGTTGCAAATCCTGACTACTTGCACCTATGAATCTAACAAACCGTGCTTTCAGAATGCTGACCGGGTCGAGCCGGTACAGTGTCGTGACTTCTACAACAACCTCGTCGAGACCCTGTTACCCTAAGCCGCAAACCGTAAACCTTGTTATCATGTGCTAACATCCTTGCCTTGCAGCCGTCGGTACATTTTTCGTATTTCATGCCTGTGTGACTGCTCTGAAAAACTCTAAACGCTAAGCCCTTGTAGATCCAACTTAATAGCAAATGCGCCTTTAGCCATTTGTCTGGTTCAGTCATGCCCTAGGGCGAGCGAACGAGATTTTAGAATTAAGAGTATAACATATTTGTAGTGCCGCAGTCACGTTAGAGCGTTTGTTTTTTGTAAGCATTGTTATAGAGTTTTGGCGACATGCAGCTCTCATTAACATATCTCTGCGTCCGCATGCCATTGCTTTTAGACTCTGGTAATCAAGGCATACGCGGGCATTTGAGTGTTGCATTCCTTAGTTCTGTATAATGACAGCCCCATACTAAATTCAGAAGCTTGCATGGAACACTAATAGCATCGTTGTGCAGTGGTTTTCCCCTATGGGACAATATACACGCAGTCTCGCTTCTTAGGTTTGACACTGCTTTTATATATACCGAGTGACGAAACCTATGCTTCTTGTACCAGCATGCGGGAACCATCACGCAGAGCCGACTGGGAGTCATAAAGCCTCATGCACCTTGTCCGTTTTGTGAGAGCACAAGCAGTCTGCAAGATGCAAAATGCTGCTTGTCCTGACCCTAACCCTCCAGGTACCTACTATATAGGGTACTAGAGCCCCTAGGGCCCTATATAGTACTGTAGGTACCTGGAGGGTTAGGGTTAGAATGAGTTCGTATCAGCCTTATCTCGTGCATGCTCTGTCGACTTTGCTTGTCCCGCGTCCTGCCGCATTTATGTTTGTGTTCTTGTGAACATCTACGCCCTAGTGGAAGCCGTTGTCTCAGTACAACGGAAGGGTTTTGCGGAAGCGGGATTAATTTCCTTTAGCTGTTGGTTGTAAAAAAACCAAAGCTCAAATCGTGATTCCTCGTGCTAGAAAGTGGTGAAACACACTGCATCACTCCCCCCGAAAGAGAGAGTTCATCCCCCAGTATTGGGAATAGCGCTGATAGGAGTTTTCTACGTACCAAGCAAGGAAACCGAACAGTTACGTAAGCTGCAAGTTTTGTTCGCTCACCACACATATTTTCATCAGTCTTGTAGCATCGAAATCCGGCTTGCGTGGAATGATGTTTGAACAGAACATTGCAACCAGTTCGTCTGTGTACACCAAGCGATGAAACCTAGCCAAGTTGTAAACACAAAATTGTTGTCCCATACAAGTAAATTAGGTCATTAGGTCTTGTCAGTAGTATCTCAATTTTCTGAGTAGCTTGAAATTCCGATGTTGATGCCGCCTACTGAACTATTGTAACCCCGATAGAAGCCACACCGTTTGCCACAGTATGATTCCTAGATGAGTGACACTTAAGTGCCTATTCGCTTAATATGCATATACGTTGCATTCTCTCTTGTAAACTCCATGTATCGTACTGGAGCGGTCAGATCATTGGAAAGTACTGCAGCATGGCCTTTCCGCTAAAGTCGCGGGAATCCCGCGGGAATATGCGAAATCTGACCAACAAAACCGGCGTTATTGCTCAAAATACCGAATCAATGCCGGATACCTAGGACTACGTATTCTCCTAGTCCTACTCCTTGCTTAGCTTCATTGCAGCTTCGGTCTTCCTTTAACGCCTAAACAATCGAAATTTTGGAGTTAGGTGTTGATGAAGTACTGATGAGATAGATTTATGTCTTATTGTTTTATCGTGCAACGGGAATCTTTCAAGGTTTATAAACCAGAGCACTAGTTTGTAAACCCAGGTCTTTCGAACCTTGAGACATTCAGTTTACCAAAATGACGGTTAGCGCCCGAAACCATTAACCGACAGACAGTTTTCACCATTCCACCAGTCGATTTGATTTTTCAAGTGGTTTGGTACCCAAACCACCCTTCATGTCCCTCATGCACCAATTCATCATGTACCTCGGTCTTACCAGGTGAGAAGGACTCACCAAGGGGGGTGGTTGTGCACCCGAAACCAATTCACCAATTCACCATTTCACTTAGTTTGGCCCTTTGTCTAAACGCATAAACCGTTTCACCAATAGTTTGGCCCTAACCCATACACCACTTCACCACTTCACCAATTAATTTGGCCTTAACGTATTAACCAATTCACCTTGTCACCATTTCACCAGTTAGTTTGGCCCAAACCCATAAAGCAGTTCACCATGTCACCTAACCCATAAACCATTTCAGCATTCAATTCCCCCATACGGTCAGGCCAGTTCACCATTTCACCATTTATGCCCCCTCATATGGTCAGAGCTTTTCATTCTCATAGGGCCAAACTAATTGGTGAAATGGTTTGTGGGTTAGGGCCAAACTAATTCTGGGCTAGAGCCAAACTAATTGGTCAAATGGTGAACTGGTGTATTGGTTAGGGCCACACTAATAGGTGAAATGGCAGAGATGTTGGGGCCAAGCTACTTGGTCAAATGCTGAAGCGGTTTATGGGTTTAGACATTGGGCCAAACTAGTTAGTGAAATGGCGAATTGGTGAGGGGTCCTGACCCTGTGGGAGCAATGAACGGCGAAACGGTGAACTGGTTGAGGGGGTTTTGCAGGACAACGAGGAAATCCAGGTAATAACGGTACCCATTTGATATATATATATATACATACATACACACTCATACACATACTTTTTCACACATGTATATACACACACATACGTGCACCTTCGCCTACACTCAGTTTTTGGTTCGGGCGATGAAAGCCCGAAGAGCTCAGAAACAAAAATATATATACATATATACATATATATATATATATATATAATGAGCTACTGGCCCGCAAGCCCTATACAATCCTTGCAGTATGTACCCACAACCCAGTAGTCCACCACTTTCAAGATTGTGTCTCTTGAAAATAAGCTGAGAAGGATTGGATTTTGAGAACCGCTGCCCTGCCACGAAGCCATGCAGCGTTTAAGTTTGTAAACGAGCCGTTCAGGGCTCAGGGTTTGGGGGTCTCGGGCTCATGGGTTCAGGGAGTTGGAAGAATCACCATTTTCCTCCATAGCCGCGGTACACCTGAAGCGGTGAAACCTTACACTGAATACACCGAGAACACCCCTAAGCCCGAAACCCTTAACCCCGACTGTTGCTTTCTGAAGAGGAAGTGGACAGATGACCGGCGGCACTCCAAGGAAGTCTGGCTCCTGGCGCCTTGGCGGGATTTAGGACTGCACGGCATTACGGGCTTCTGGGTTTTGAAACTTTAGGGTTTAAGGCTTTAGGACTTTCGATTTCGATTTTTCTGGGTTTTAGGAAGTTTCCTAAACCCTAAGCCCTAAACAGGGGTTTGGGGTGTATGGATTTCACAGCCTCGGAGCTTCAAGGTTCTTGCAGAGGCGTGGACAAAGTCTTGACAATCCCCCCGGCCCCCTGGCTCCCTCCGGTTTGGGGTTTAGGGTTTAGGGCCTCTCCCCTAGCCTGAAGCAGCAAAGTCCTGAAGCTCTGATCCACAGCCCGTGAAGCTCTAACCTTCGATAAGAAAAGTCTGTGGGCCTAACACCACCTGGGCACTTCTGATCCTGCAATACCTGACACGTCTTCTAATAGCTTACCCTTGCAGGGATCCCAGAGAGCAAGATCTCCTGTGCATGAACAGAGTCCGAGATCGCGGATTCATGCCGAAACGCCTTAGTCATGGCCTAGCCACCAGCCCACAAAGCGTCAACCCTCAAACTCTCAACCCACTTTCACTTCTGAGTTCTTCATCCAGCCCCGAGCTAAAAACACTAATGTAGCGGGCCTAAATAACTACCACTACTACTNNTCCTTATTATAGTTATAGTATAATGCGCCCCAAAACCCTATTCTAATTAATGAAGGCCCCTAAACTCTAAACCTTTATAGTAGCCCTTTAAGGAACCCTTAAAAGGAACCCCAAAACCCTATTCTACTTTTTTAAGGCCCCTAGATTATTCCCCACCGGCACAAGCTGCAGGGCCTCCAGGCTCGAGCTTTATGCCAGGTCAATGGCCAGGTTCCTCGGTAGTACCGTTTTTGCTTCCCTTATTCAAGCCACACAGCAGCAAGTATAAGGAAACCCTAAACCCTAAACCCTAAAAGGAAGAGTTGCGAGACTGAGCAGCCAAAGTCCTTACCGCTACGCTCTGAAGCTCCAAAGCCCCAAAACCTCTGAAGCTCTAAAGCCCCAAACCGCTGAAACCCCAAACCTTCGCTATAATTAGAGGTCTGAGCAGTTAGGAACGGTACCCCCTTATAAAACCCCACATACTAATATGAAGCAGACAGCTTGCACCAAAACCATACTAAAGTTATAGAGACCACTAAATTAGACCCCACCCTAAACCCTAAACTCCAAACCCTTAACCTTAAACTTCTAAATCCTGGACCCTAAAACTCCGAAGAACCCGAAACTGGCAAGGAAATGGGTCCCGTCGTTTGGAATGGTGCAGGCAAGTGCCAGTTGAACACAGAATATGGGATGTACTTGGAGGTTCATGGGTAGTTATAAGTGGGTTATAAGTAGGGTAACTATACTTATAGCCCAGATGCGGGGACTTATAACCCTACTTATAGCTAGCCATGAACCTCGAAGGTAGAGTTTAGGGCTTAGTGTTTAGGCAGAGGGGCTGACGAGTTGCCTCAAGATCATATGTATATGTATATATATATATATATATGTACATATTATACTTTGAAGTATCCGCAAACCCATTTCTTGTGATTGGAGAGAGCCCCTATCTTAGCCGTAGGGCTTGGGGTTTAAGGTTTGCGGGGTTTGGGATTCCGGGTTTCGGGTTCAGGGCCTGGGACTTTCTACACATAATTACCGATATGCTACATAGTAGTTCCGTTTTGGGATTGCCTTACAGGATCCTAAGTATAAACCACAAGAAGGAACTATAATTAATGGAGCTTATGGGTAGTATGTTCCACTAGACCACTTCGGTTTTCGCACATGTAATTGTACAGTGTTTTACACTTGGTTTACATTCACGCGGCGAATTCTCTATACTTGTTTCGAGACTCTGTGCAGCACTTGTTTAGCGCTTCTGCGAGATACTTTTTGTTTGCAGTCTCGTGATGTCTTTCGATCTTGCTGCCTTGTATCGCAAACAGAACCAAAGCCGAGTCCTGCTGCGACTACGGGCACGGCTAAAGGCTACGGCTGCGGCTACGGCTGTTTACCGTTTCTGCTACTGAAACTCCTCCTCCTCCTCCTCCTCCTGCTGCTCCTCCTCCTCCTCCTCCTCCGCCGCCTGCTGCTACTCCCACACCGACTACGGTCTAGAACCCGTATCGTGCCCTCCTAAAGTCTCATGAAACACCTCAGAAGGTGGAGCCCTGTTCGAGATGTCTTTAGTGCTGCTGCAGCTTGTCCTTCCAACAAGCTGGAGTATGGGAGGGAAGACGTCAGGACTTAGGGTTTAGATTTATAATCTTTAAAGGGTTTTGATTTCGGTAAATTCTATTCGCTATGTTCAGACTATAGGACTATAGGGTTATCTGTTTCGGAATTCAGATGCACACCACATGAACGGCGCACGATCTAGTGTGAAGTGGGAAGCCCCCCGGAATCCCGGTCTCGAGCGCGAAAAGCCCCCTAACAGCCTGCTGACCTGTGTTAGGTTGCAGGGTCGAGTGAGTCTAATGCATGCTTGAGGGATAGCTATCCACCAGACAGGTATTTCGCTACTAAGGCAGGGCCGTCGAAGGTGTAATGCTACCAGCGACGAATGTTCTCCATCTTCCAGTCACTGAAGTACCTCAGTACTTTGCGACAAACCCTAGCAGGTAATCCCCCTATACATATTTGTAGTTGTTGAATATGTTACTATACATTTTTTGACATACTGCTACTCCGGTGCGTTGTGCATTCAATCTGACAACTGCTGTGTTAGCTTTTTTTTGACCATACGCAGTGCCAGTAGCACAGTTACATACTGCGAGTTACGATTCCTTTAACATTGTACCCATCGCCCACTTGGAGGATCATGGGACTTAGTAAATGAGGTTATAAGTCCCCTAATTGGGGTTATAAGTCTAGTTACCCTAATTATNNACTAAGCCCCATGATCCTTTAAGCAGTGTATGGTTGCGCCTTCTGTACAGAGCAGCTTAAGCTTCCGGGTTTGTTTCCCTCCCCGCCTGTGGAATGGTTCGGGGGTGTAGGCTAGAATTCAGAGTGTAAGGGCGGGAGGTGCGGAGGATGCCATATACTTAGAGGATCATGAGACTTAGT